AATCCTCCTAAGTATTTCAATTAAAATTATAAATCTGGTGAGTCAAATTCTCTAATATATTAGATTCTCATTTCTAACATAGTAACAACAAATCACACACAACTAACATTCCAATCAGAAAATTCACTACCACACATACACTTCTTATATAGAAACACCATTTCTTCATTGTCAATTTGATTTTACAAAATGCCTTTCCTGGGTTACAAAGTTACACAAGCAGCAGTGGCAGAATCATCTTCTCCATTAGGGGCCTCGGAAGCGATGGAGATCAGAATCCAGGTGTGTCTTTCAGGAGCCCAAACCCTGAGCCCTTCTCATGGTGGAGCTCTGCCTTCTCAGTGCCCTAAGAAGCCACCCACACCTTACCACTGCAATCGAATAGTTCAATGTGCCCTGCATCTCCTTGGCTTCCTTCAAGTGTTACCCTTCTCCAATTTTCATGTTAACATTTTATCATCTGAATTACATACATAGAATCGTGCAGAACTTCATCCCACCCCAAATTTGCATTCAGTCACTTTGCTACCTGAGTAGAATTAGCTACATTCCATACCCTCTTATGTTTTTACCTTCTTAATAGACCGCCATTCATTCCAGACTGGCTCATTGCCATGGATAAAGTAACCAAAAAATCACCACCTGTCCTGGGTCTTCCAGTTTCTTTTTTGAGACTTTGAGATCATGAAAAGTGTGTGCCAGAATTCTTCTGGGTGTATCCTGTTTCTTCATAAATCATGAATCATCAAAAACTGTGGGCGCCTGGGTGGCTTAGTTGGTTAAGTGTCCAACTTCAGCTCAGGTCATGATCTCACGGTTTGTGAGTTCAAGCCCTCTGTTGGGCTCTGTGCTGACAGCTAGGAGCCTGGAGCCTGCTTCGGATTCTGTGTCCCCCTCTCTCTCTGCTCCTTCGCCACTCGCATTCTGTCTCTCTCTGTCTCTCAAAAATGAATGCAAAAAAAAAAAAAAACGTTAAAATTTTTTTAAAAATGAGTAGACCTATCTTAAAAAAAAAAAAAAAAAAAGGAAGAGTAGTGCCTGTTAGTTTTGACAAACTCAGGCTGTCAGCAAGCTTCAGATCTCTGGCCAGAGACATAGTGTTCATCCTATATAGAAGGTCAACATAGCAGCTTCCATTCCTCTTGGCATGAAGTCTTCGGTGGTAAGGCCTTTCTTCTTGGAGCCTGGAAGAGAACTGGCACCCTTGAATCCTCCAATTGGATCATGAGATGTTCTTTCTTCACATGGGTTTTCCCTCTGAGGACAGACTCTCATGACTTTTTTATAGCTCTGGAAGTGCTGAGTTCCTTTCTCTTCTCCTCCTTCTTCGTGCCCTAGATTTCAGATCATAAAAAATAAGTGGTGCTCTGTTCTTATAGCTTAACTCAGTGCCCTAAGCCATATATGGACTAATAAGTATCCGCCTTCATAAATCACACTTCTGCCTGAGCTCATGCAGGAAGGGTGAGCAGTTGTGCTAGCCAGCCCTCTGCTCTGTCTTAGAGTATAGTTGAGACACTAATTTTGAAAAGTCTCATGTGCCCATTTAGCGGCATTTGAGGATATAAGGAGCATAAGCTTAAATACTCACCTTGTACGATTTATTAATTTTATTTTACTGTGGAGAAATGTCCTCTTGAGTAATTAATATGCTCTCATAAGAGGATTGTTTTGACTCTGAAAATGTTTAAACAAAAGAAAGCCCCACACAGAGCTGCAATACTCTCCTAAATAGCCCCAGGGTGTTAGGGAGGGCCTAAAAATGCCTGAATTCGTGATGGGAATTAAAGGGAAGCAGTCCTGAGGGTGAAATGCAACTAGTTACCCCACAACTTAACTGAACTCTTCAAAGAGGAACTCTTGACAATAACCGAAACACCCTGTATCCAAATCCTTAAGACCAGGTCCTTTCTCTTTCCACCTGGAATGATGAAGGGGTCTGCAAGTTAATATGTTAAATAAAGACTCAGCTAGAATATGAGCCATATCACAGTCATCAGGAGTTTTCAGTGGCCCAATTAAGGCACTGCCAACCTAAAACTAGGCAAAATGCAAAGAAGGCAAAGATATTATCCTCTTCCCTTTCTGGCCATTTCCTTCAATAATGCTCTAAGTCTGCATGAAGACACTCCCAGAGCCCGCCTCACCAATGCATGGTTCCAAATTACTGCTCCGTTCTCTTCACAGCCCAATCCAGTTTAGTAAATTCAGTTGAATCAAGAGAAGAGTAGCCAATTAAAATCATACTAAAGTGGGAATGGCCCGGGTTTCTACCTTCCAGGTCCCATTTGTTTTTGTTTTTGTTTTGTTATTTTGGTTTTTTAAAATTTTTTAATGTTTTATTTATTTCTGAGAGAGAGGGCGATACAGAATCCGAAACAGGCTCCAGGCTCTGAGCTGGCTGTCAGTACAGAGCCCGAAGCAGGGCTCGAACCCACGAACCGTGAGATCATGACCTGAGCCAAAGTAGGACACTTAACCGACTGAGCCACCCAGGCGCCCCCCATTTGTTATGTAAAATGAGACTGCATCCATTCTAATTGCATACTCCTTTCCAGCTACCTCCTCATGAGCAGGAAAGAGTATAAAGAACCAAGACAAACAGTCTTGAGGACTGAGTCATATGTGCAAGGATTGCTGGGATTTAGGTACTTCAGGGTGTCCAGAGTTTGGCTTTTACAACATGGCCCCATGTGTCTACCAAGAAGACTGCTGGGAAGCACAAGGAACTGTTGTCATGAGCCCAGATTGCTGTTGAAAGACCTTCTCCTGCCACAACTGGAACTGTCTCAGTCCAGCGATCCCTGTGAACTCTGCATTTGTGTTTAGGTGGTGAAACAAGAGTAAATTTGCTTTGTTCTTCATACTTCTTTGCAAGTAACTAATTCTCTTTAATAAATATGTAGTATCTTTGCAGCTTGGATACTGTCATCAGAAGGGTCATGGTCTGAGCCAGTCCTAAGGGTCTGGTAAGTTGGGGTTAAGGGCAGCAGGGCAGTGAAGTCCTGTTTAGATGACCAAGATGATTCTTTACCTCTCCAGCATCTTCAGTGGATTTGTGTTGTTTATAATCCTGGGGTAGGGCCAGGCTTCCAAGAGCTGAGCTTTCTGCTAGCATCTGTCTGGACCCACACTTGATCTAAAGCTTGTATCCCTTTTTCTTTGTTTGTCTGTCCTTTCTTCCTTTCTCTCTACACCTGGATAAATAATCCCTTGCTTATATCCACTCAACTCCTCTTCAACAGTTTGGAAATTGCATAATTTCAATAAACGTCATGGTCTGAAAAATGAAGTTGGAGCAGAAAAAAAAAGCCATTGTGCATAAAACAATTGAAGAGTAGATTTACACAGCAATATTAAAAATGCAAAGTACTGGGGTGCCTGAGTGGCTCAGTTGGTTAAGTGTCCAACTTTGGCTCAGGTCATGATCTCACGGTTTATGAGTTTGAGCCCCGTGTCGGGCTCTGGGCTGACAGCTTGGAGCCTGGAGCCTGCTTCTGATTCTGTGTTTCCCTCTCTCTTCCCCTCTCCTGCTCATGTTCTGTCTCTCTCTCTCCCTCTCTCAAAAATAAACATTAAAAAATTTAAAAATGCAAATTACTATGATTCTGATTAAGCAAATGAGTCCAGAAGAGCTCTGAACATATTCTTTAAGGCTATTTATTTAGGTTTAAGTTTAAGCCACTTTTAAAAAATGGAATGTATTTGACATATAACACTGTGTAAAATTAAGGTATACTTATGCTGCTTTTTAAAGAAAAAGAACTGTTGAATATTATCTACACAACTGTAAATTCTCTTTTGATAACATTTAATATATATATTTCTGACACTGTAAACGATTATGTATTCACAAAGGAGAATTAGCACCTTACAGAAAATATAGTATGATGAAGAACAAAAGCAAAATCAGCCCTCATGTCACTATTGTCAATTCTTAGAAATTATTTCAGTACAGGATTTTCCCCTATGCATAGGATATTTTACATAATTATACTCCTATGGCATATTTTAAATTATTTTTAACATAATAAAGAACATTTCATGTTATTAAATGTTCTTCTAAAAGACCATGCTTCATGGCTACAAAGTATCATAATTTAAATAATCTCTCATTCTGAGGCTTTGTACTTGTTTCTAGCTTTTGCTACAATATATAATTTGTGTGATCAATATGTTCTAGCTATGCTCATATGTGTGTGTGAGTGTGTGACTATGAGGATAAATTCTTAGAAGAAAAGTTTGCTCAGAGTGCTAGACATTTAAGCTTTGGCTTCATTCTGCTTGCTTACTTCAGAAAGCTTTAGCAATTTAGTAACATGAATCAGAATATACAGACCATTACATAAAAGCAATTTCAGAAATATCCTTTCCTGTTTAAAAGATTTAAAATGTTATTTATGTTTGCATTTTTTACTAGGGAGGCTGAATATCTTTGTATATTTGTTATTCTTTTACATTTTACTTTTTTATGAGTAACCTATTCATAAAATAGCAAAATTGGAAAATTTTAAAGCTAAATCTTTATTTTTAAGTTACATAACGAATTGCAGGAACTGTGTTAAGGATTCAACCTTTTTTTTTATTGCCTAATTTCCTAGTTTTCAGCTGTTGTAGAACTCCTAGACTAGAGAATATTCTGTCGTATGCTTTGTTCTATTAGTACACTGCTAGATTTGCTTACTAATATTTTATTTATATTTTTTTACTCTTTATTTATTTATTTTGAGAGAGGGGGAGCATGAGTGTAAGCGGGGAGAGGAGCAGAGAGAGGGGGAGAGAGAGAATCCCAAGCTGACAGCACAGAGCCCTGCATCTGGCTTGATCTCACAAACTGTGGGATCATGACCTGAGCCAAAATCAAGAGGCAGACACTTAATTGGCTGAGCCTCCCAGGCACCCCTTATTTATATTTTTGAATCTTTGCTCTAAAGTGCAACTGTCATTTCATTTTTTGGTGCTGTCTTTGCAAGTTTTGGTTTCAGGGATATAAGGAAATAAACATTTTCTGAAATTTATTATGTTTTCTGAAATAAATGAACTTGGTGGCATGAAGTCTCCTTGGAAGATAATACTCTTTCTCTGTATAGCCATCACACAGTAGTACAGGGCATTCTCCAGGGCCTCCATGAGCAGCAAAAGAAAGAAGAAATAACCAATAGGTTATTAATTCAGAAAAACAGTCTACACAGTAGTTAACAGCTTTTACCCTCTCGGGTTAGGAGTCCCACCAGCCAATGATATAATAGCAGGGAAAGAACCCTAGCCACACACACACTTTTTGTGAGGACGATCAATGCAAAAGCCAGCCCCAGGGAGCAGGAAAGAGCCCAGCAGTGGAGCTCTGTGGCTAGGGCGAGACGCTGAGCCTCAAAGCTCATCTTTTTTTCTGACACAACACACAGCATCCCAAGAGAGATATATCCTTGTGGGCAGACACAGATTTTACAAAATCCAGAAAAATATACAGATAAGCCAAATAAAGCAGCACAGACTTTTTCAGTTTGGGTATGCATTCTATAAGATTTTTAACAAGACTGTGATTAATAAAATGGCTTATTTAAGGACCTCAATAATAAGCATTTAGCATATTAGAGGGAGAAATAAAAATTGCAATTTAAAAGAATTAAGCTTTATCTTTAAAATATCCAGTTTTAGAGGTGCCTGAGTGGCTTGTTTGGTTAAGTGTCTGACTTCAGCTCAGGTCATGCTCTCACGGTTTGTGAGTTCAAGCACCACGTTGGGCTCTGTGCTGACAGCTCAGAGCCTGGAGCCTGTTTCAGATTCTGTGTCTCCCTCTTTTTGCTCCTCCCCCACTCACACTCCGTCTCACTCTCTGTCTCTCAAAAATAAATGTTTTAAAAAATAAAGAAAATATACACAGTTTTATTTTTTTGCCAGATTCTCCCTTCCTATAAACAATATGAATAAGGCAAACAAGGAGATACTATCAAAGAAGTAACATAAATCTTATTTGGGGCTTAAAAATCATTATATAAACAGTTTATTGGTTTCTAACATGTTATTATTAATGTAAATTGATTGGGGGCACATTTCATTTCATCAGATATCAAACATAACAAAACAATCATTGTTATGTTCCATTAACACTGAACTCTCTCATGCTGTGTAGATGTAGATCTAAATATTTTATAGAGAGCCAGTACCATACATACTTATTTTTAAAGTTTTTATTTGAACTCCAGTTAGTTTACATACAGTGTAATATTATTTTAGGTTACAATATAGTGATTAAACACTTCCATACAACACCCAGTGCTCATCACAAGTGTGCCCCTTAGTCCCCATCACCTATTTCACCCATCTCCCCCCCCTCCTTCTGGTAACCATCAGTTTGTTCCCTATGGTTAAGAGTCTGTTTCTTGGTTTGCCTCTATCTCTCATTTTTTCCCCTTTGCTTGCTTGTTTGTTTTGTTTCTTAAATTCCACCTATAAGTGAGATATGCTATTGTCTTTCTTTGACTGACTTATTTTGCTTAGCATAATACTCTCAAAAGCTTCTGCATAGCTAAGGAAGCAATCAGCAAAACTGAAAGGCAACAAATGTAATGGGAAAAGATATTTGCAAATAACATAGCTGATAAAAAGTTAGTTTCCAAAATATATCAAGAAGTTATAAAACTCAACACCTAAAAAACAAATAATCCAATTAAAAAATTGACAGAAGACATGAATAGACATTTTTCCAGAAAAGAAATACAGAGGACCAAAGGGACATAAAACGATGCTCAACATCACTGGATATCAGGAAAAGGCAAGTCAAAACTACAATATGAGATATCACCTCACACCAGTCAGAATGGCTAAAATCAACAGCACAAGAAACAACAGGAGTTAGCGAGGATGTGGAGAAAGGGGAATCCTCTTTCACTGTTGGTAAGAATGCAAACTGATGCAGCCACTCTAGAAAACAGCATAGAGGTTCCTCAGAAAGTTAAAAATAGAACTACCTTACAATTCAACAATTGCACCACTAGGTATTTACCCAAAGAACACAAAAATAATAAATCAAAGGGACATATACACCCCAGTGTTTATAGCGGCATTATGTATAATAGCCAAATTACATAAATAGCCCATGTCCATCGACAGATGAAAGAAGAAGATATTATCTATATCTACAACTATATTTATATCCATATCTATATATATTGGAGTATTACACTCAGCCACAAAAAATCCTGCCATTTGCAATGACATGAATGGAGCTAGAGTATTATGCTAAGTGAAATACTATGCATTCTTTGGCTCCAGGGATACAATGGTCAGCAAGAATCAAACCTGATCTCTGCCCTCGAACAGATATTAATAAGGCATTAATCCACTGATTATTCAAATCAGTGTGCAATTACAAACTGTCCTAACAGCTATTAAAGAATATTAATATTATGAGAGAAGGAGCCAAGATGGAAGAACAGCATGGAAGTTTTTGGGTCTCGCGTCCATAAAGTACAGCCAGATCAACACTAAACCATCCTGCACACCTAGAAAACTGACCTGAGGATTAACACAACAATCTGCACAACCTGAACCACAGAACTCAGCAGGTACCCAGCATGGAGAGATGAATGGGGGAGAGAGAAGCTGTGAAGGGCAGGGAGCTATTTTTGCTTGCAGAAAGAGGACAGAGATGGGGGGAGAGTACTGGAAAAGCGCCCCCAAAAGCAGTTGGAGAGAAAGTGGAAAAGCGGAAACAGCAGCAGGGACTGAACTAAAAAGGGATAAAGGAGAACGGAGAGGGTTTAAATTCCATTAAGACTCTATAAACAGGGGGAGCACAGAGTCTGAAACTCGGCATGCAGCTCCATACCTGGCGGTGCTCTGGTGAGAAGGCGAATCCCCAGCAGAGTGAAGTCCCGGGGTCCTTGGGCCACACGAGGAGAGGCAGTTCCCCTGCTGGGAGGACTCCCCACAGGCAAAGGTCCCAGCAGATCCTGGAGAACAACCACATTCACAGGTGCTGGAACAAGGCTGTTAAGTATGAAGCCTGGTGCCAGATGTGTGTTGTGGTTTTCCATAATCCCTGAAACGCTGCTGCTACACGATCATGTGAAAATTTTCTGGGGTGGGCTGGCACCCAGCTGCAGTCTCTGGGCTTCGGCAGCAGCACCATCCCATTAACGTTCGTGGGTGCAGTCGGCTGGGGCCATTGCTCGATAACACCCTCCCACAGAGGGTCAGAAGTGTCAAAGCTGCAGGCCCTCTGAAGTAAGGGGTCAGGAAAAACAGCCGCATCTGAGATAAAACTCAGGAGGGAGGTGCCGCCTGGCAACCTGATGGCTTGGTCATGGACAGTGTAAAAGCGGGAATTGGATGGAAACCAGAGACAAAGGACGGGTGTGTGATTGCTGAGGAGGGAGAATAGATCTCGATACTAGAGACTGGGGTTCTGGGTGGCGCCATTTTCACGTCTCCTGCACATGCGCATACACACCTACAAGCACCACAGCAATCCACAGGATAAACTAAGCAACGCCATCTAGTGGAGAACGGAGCCATTACACTAAGCCCCGCCCAACGGGACTAACCTCGCTCTTCAGGAACACATGTTTCTTTGGCTGCTTCGTTTACAGCCTATAAAGTGCTTCACAGTTTGACTTCTAGGGGAAAATGATATAATTTCAAACGTATTTCAGTCTGTTTGCTGGTCCATCTATTCAATTTTCTTTTTTTTCTTTTTCATTTCTTTTTGTTTTCTGGAATGCAGAAAGAAAATTCTTATTTTCAACTTTTATTAACAATATTTCTTTAATTTTTTGTAGTATATTTTTTACTTTTTTATAAAATTTTCATTTTGTAAATTTTACTTCCATCATCTCATTTTATTCTATTTCATTGTATTAAGTTTTTCAAATTTTCAAATATTTTCCTTCCCCCACTTTCTTCTTGAATCTATCAAGCCCCTTTTAACACCCAAACCAAAATACAGCTAGGATCTATCATCATTTATTTGATTTGTGTGTGTGTGTTGTTTTTAATTTTTTAATTTTTACTTTTTTCATTTTAATTTTTTTACATTATTAATTTCTTTTCTTCCTTCAAAATGACAAAATGAAGGAATTCACCCCAAAATAAAGAGCAGGAAAAAATGAAAGCCAGGGACTTAACCAACACAGGTACACATGCAAGATGTCTGAACCAGATTTGAATCATGAAAATAAGAATATTAGCTGGAGTTGAAAATAGATTAGAATCCCTTTCTGTGGAGATAAAAGAAGTAAAAGCTAGTCAGTATGAAATAAAAAATGCTATAACTGAGTTGCAATCTCGAGTGGATGACACAGCACAAACTTGAGAAGAATAATGAAGGAGAAAAAAAGGCGGAGACTAAGGCAAAAGAGCATGATTTTAGAATTAGAGAAATCAGTGACTCATTAAAAAAGGAACACCATAATCACAGGGATCTTAGAAGATGAAGAGAGAGAAAAAGGGATAGAAGGGTTATGTGAGCAAATCATAGCAGAAAACTTTCCTAAGTTTCTGCTTTCCTGGGAAAAGACACAGACTTCAAAATCCAGGAAGCACAGAGAACTCCCATTATATTCAACAAAAACCAGCCATCAAAAAGGCATATCATAGTCAAATTCATAAAATACTCAGGCAAGGAAAGAATCATGAAAGCAGCAAGGGAAAAAAAAGTCCTTGACCTACAAAGGAAGACAGATCAGGTTTGCAGGAGACCTATCCACAGAAATTTGGCAGGCCAGAAAGGAGTGGCAGGATATATTCAATGTGCTGAACTGGAAGAATATGTAGCCAAGAATTTTTTATCCAGCAAGGCTGTCATTCAAAATAGAAGGAGAGATAAAAAGTGTCCCAGACAAACAAAAACTAAAGTAGTTCATGACCACTAAACCAGTCCTGCAAGAAATTTTAAAGGGGACCCTGAGAAAAGACGGACAGACAGACAGACAGATAGATAGATAAAGACCAAAAGCAACAAAAACTAGAAAGGACCAGAAAACACCACCAGACACTCCAATTCTACAAGAAATATAATGGCAATAAATTCATATCTTTCAGTACTCACTCTAAACATCCATGAACTAAATGCTCCAATCAAAAGACATAGGGTACCAGAATGGATGAGAAAACAAGATCCATCTATATGGTGTTTACAAGAGACCCACTTTAGACCTAAAGATACCTTCAGATTGAAAGTAAGGGGATGGAGAACCATCTATCATATTAATGGTAGACAAGAGAAAAACGGAGTAGCCATACTTATATCAATCAATCTAGGATTTAAAATAAAAACTGTCTTAAAATAAAGACTGTAACAAGAGACCTGCTTCAGATTCTATCTCCATCTATTTCTCTCTGCCCCTCCTCTGTTCATGTGCTGTCTCTCTCTCTCTCAAATATATATAAACTTAAAAAAAAAAAGACTGTAACAAGAGATGAAGGGTATTATATCACAATTAAGGGGTCTGTTCACAAGAGGACCTAACAATTAAACATTTATGCTCCAAATGTAGAAGCACCCAAATATATAAATCAATTAATCACAAACATAAGAAACTTATTGATAATGATACCATAATAGTAGGGGACTTCAACACCCCAGTTACAGCAATGGACAGATCGTCTAATCAGAAAATCAACAAGGAAACAATGGCTTTCAATGACACACTGGATCAGATGGACCTAACAGATATATTCAGAACATTTCATCCTAAAGCAACGGAATATACATTCTTCTCCAGTGCACATGGAACATTCTCCAGAAGCGACCACATACTGGAACACAAATCAGCCCTCAACAAGTATAAAAAGATGGAGATCATACCTTACATATTTTCAGACCACAATGATATGAAACCTAAAATAAACCACAAGAAAAAATTTGGAAAGGCAACAAATACTTGGAGACTAAAGAACATCTTACTAAAAAACAAATGGGCTAACCAAGAAATTAAAAAGGAAATTAAAAAGGACATGGAAGCCAATGAAAATGATAACACTACAGCCAAAAACCTCTGGGACTCAGCAAAGGCAGTCATAAGAGGAAAGTATATAGCGATCCAGGCCTTCCCAAAGAAGGAAGAAAGGTCTCAGATACACAACCTAACCTTACACCCTGAAGAGCTGTAAACAGGAAAACAAATAAAACCCCAAACCAGCAGAAGACAGGAAATAGTAAAAATTAGATCAGAAATCAATGCTATTGAAACAAACAAACAACAATAACAACAAAAAAACAAACAGTAGAACAAATCAATGAAACCAGAAGCTGGTTCTCTGAAAGAATAAACAAAATTGATAACCCCCTAGCCAGTATGATGAAAAAGAAAAAAGAAAGGACCCAAATAAATAAAATCAAGAATGAAAGAGGAGAGATCTCAACCAACACAGCAGAAATACAAACAATAATAAGAGAATATTAAGAGCAACTATATACCAATAAAATGGGCAATATGGAAGAAATGGACAAATTTCTAGAAACATATAAACTACCAAAACTGGAACAGGAAAAAATAGAAAATTTGAACAGACCTATAACTAGTAAAGAAATTGAATTAGTAATAAAAAATCTCCCAAAAAACAAGGCCAGATGGCTTTCCAGGGGAATCCTACCAAACATTTAAGGAAGAATTAACACTTATTCTCCCGAAGCTGTTCCAAAAACTAGAAATGGACGGAAAACTTCCAAGCTCTTTCTATGAAGCCAGCATTACCTTGATTCCAAAACCAGACAAAAACCCAACTAAAAAGGAGACCTATAGACCTATATCCCTGATGAACATTGATGCAAAAATCCTCAAACAAGCTATTAGCCAACCATATCCAACAAAACATTAAAAGAATTATTCACCATAACCAAGTGGGATTTATACCTGGGATTCAGGTCTGGTTCAATATCTGCAAAACAATCAATGTGACTCATCACATCAATAAAATAAAAGACAAGAACCACATGATCCTCTCAATAGATGCAAAGAAAGCATTTGACAAAATATAGCATTGTTTCTTGATAAAAACCTTCAAGAAAGTAGAGAAAGAAGGATCATATCTTGAGATCATAAAGTCCATATATGAAAGACCCACCACTAATATCAATGGGGAAAACTGAGAGCTTTCCCCCTAAGCTCAGGAACACGCAGGGATGTCCACTCTCGCCACTGTTATTCAACATAGTATTAGAAGTCTTAGCCTCAGAAATCAGACAACACAAAGGAATAAAAGGCATCCAAATCAGCCAGGAGGAGGTCAAACTTTCACCCTTCGCAGATGACATGAAACTCTATAAGGAAAACCCAAAAGATTCTACCAAAAAAACTTCTAGAATTGATCCATGAATTCAGCAAAGTCACAGGATATAAAATCAATACACAGAAATCAGATGCATTCCTAGACACCAACAATGAAACAACAGAAAGAGAAATCATGGAATCAATCCTATTTACAATTGCACCAAAAACCATTAAATACCTAGGAATAAATCTAACCAAAGAGGTGAAAAATCTATACACTGAAAACTACAGAAAGCTTCTGAAAGAAATGGAAGAAGTCACAAAAAAAATGGAAAAATATTCCATGCTCCTGGATGGGAAGAACAAATATTCTTAAAATGTCAATACTACCCAAAGCAATCTACATAGTCAAGGCAATCCTTATCAAAATAACACCAGCATTCTTCACAGAGCTAGAACAAACAGTTCTAAAATTTACATGGAACCAGAAAAGACCCCAGATAGCAAAAGCAATTTTGAAAAAGAAAACCAAAGCAGAAGGCATCATAATCCCGGACTTCAGGCTGTATTACAAAGCTGTAATCATGAAGACAGTGTGGTACTGGCTCAAAAATTGACACTCAGATCAATGGAACAAAATAGAGAACCCAGAAACGGACCCACAAATGTATGGCCAACTAACCTTTGACAAAGCAGGAAAGAATATCCAATGCAATAAAGATAGTCTCTTCAGCAAGTGGTGCTGGGAAAACTCAACTGCAACATGCAGAAAAATGAACCTGGACCACTTTCTTACACCATACACATAAATAAACTCAAAATGGATGAAAGACCTAAATGTAAGACAGGAAGCCATCAAAATCCTTGAGGAGAAAGAAGGCAAAAACCTCTTTGGCCTTGGCCACAGCAACTTCTTACTCAACATTTCTCCAGAGGCAAGGGGAAAAAAAGCAAAACTGAACTATTGGGATCTAATCAAAATAAAAAGCTTCTGAACAGCGAAGGAAACAAGCATCAAAACTAAAATGCAACAGATGGAATGGGAGAAGATATTTACTAACGACATATCAGATAAAGGGTTAGTATCCAAAATCTATGAAGAACTTCTCAAACTCAACACCCAAAAAACAAAGAATCCAGTGAAGAAATGGGCAAGACATGAATAGACACGTCTCCAAAGAAGACAACCAGATGGCCAACTGACACATGAAAAAATGCTCAACGTCACCATCATCAGGGAAATACAAATCAATACCACAATGAGATACCACTCACACCAGTCAGAATGGCTAACATTAACAACTCAGGCAACAACAGATGTTGGCAAGGATGCGAAGAAAGAGGCTCTTTTGCACTGCTGGTGGGAATGCAAACTGGTGCAGCTACTCTGGAAAACAGTATGGAGGTTCCTCAAAAAATTAAAAATAGAACTA